GTTAGATTCTCTATTACATACAAATTATGCTTGCTAAGTACCTTCATTATCTCTTAAACATTTCCCCCTTTAATTTTAGAAGTCATGGTGTGGAGGGCAATATCAAAAGGGCATTTCTCTATTTGTGTATGCTCACAGAATATACAGTATTGTGCTATGCATTGTCTCAGCACACTAACAAGTGAGGCATCATTTTCTTACAACATTCATGGCTGAGACATCTGAGGATCAAAAAACCAAAGACTTTTGATTCACAGCAGGTTGTGGAAGGGTGTGCAGACATGTCTTATTGCCCTATATTCGATGAGTTGAGGGCTAATTTAGTCACCCCTTTACTTAAAGATATGGAACTGCAAAATGTGCGAGTCCAGGTTTCATGGCTACTATTGGATACCAATGACTGTGTAGCCCTGTACCATCAGGTTCATGTGCCTGGAGTGGGCAGGGCATTCCATGATCAGAGTGTCATCACTCAAATAGCTCTGAAATTCAGCTAGACGGGGCCATTTGCTGAATATTTTATGTTCTGCATTTTACTTCAGACATTTATTGTTTTATCGTATGGCAGCGTGTGCAGTTCTGTAGCCAGGAGATCCTAAGATTGTGCCAGAACCCTCCCGTTCTTTAGCATTATGCATCTCTAGGTGGGGAGCTAGACTAGCTTTTTTAGGCAAGAGACGACTCAGAGGTGGTTTACCATGGCCTTCCTCTGCCTCACAGCCCTGGTGTTCCTTGGAGGTCACCCTTCCATATACTGGCCAGGGTCAACCCTGCATAGTTGCCGAGATCTGATGAGATTGAGCTACCCTGGGCTATCCAGGTCAGTTGATACTCAACAGTTATTTCAGAGTTCACATGCAAAGATATTTACTGTTTGTCAATACTGATACATAAAGGTATGTTACCACTGATGTTCCAGGGAACATTTACCACACTGGCATCTTTACCAAGACCCCCCGGAATGTAATTTGAACAATGGTGGCAACAATCAGGACCTCGCTGTATTTTTAAATCCCTTTGAAATGGCAGCATCATCCACAGGATGGAGCATTTGGCCTTCGGGTGCATCTGAGCTTCCTTGACCTCGTTTTTTAGAGAAGGGTGGGATATTGAAAATGTACATGTAAACTGTTGTGTCCGCTGACCGACACATGAGGCCAGCGCACACTCCTGAGCTTCAGTCAGGAATAACAATGGGGACTAGGATCCTAGTCCCTCCACTGGGGGGACCAATGGGACCTTGGCGGGAGATTCAAACCCGCCAATGGGATCCAGGGGGTGTCCCCTGGGTGTGTATATAGTTGGCCAGCTGGCCGTTGTTCTTTGTCTTTGTTGTGTACCAGTAAAGTATGCTGATCACTACATCACTCTCCATGCTTACTCAATGCGTCTAACCCACTACACTTCAT